GCTGCCCGCGTTAGACGCAGGACAGGTAGGAGGGGCCTGGGAGAAGTGGGCGCGGCCTGGAGAAAGTCGGTGGGCGGGGCCTGCGAAGGGTGGGTCGGTGGGAGGGGCGTGGGCAGAAGAAGGTGAGGTAGGTGGGGCCAGAAGGCAACAAGCTCAGTCCCCGCGTGCCTGCTGTGGGTCCTGGGCACGGAGTGAGCCCTCTGCCTTAGCGTCCTCTGACAATGGGCGCGATGGAGATCGAAGTAGTGCCTCGCTCCAGAGCAGGAAATGACGGCACTGCGAAGAGGGCCTGGCACAGGAGTGGGCCCCGTGGTCACGCCTGGTCAGCACAGGAGCCTGGCTGCCCCACCCTCCTGCCACTCCCGCTGCAGGGCCCCGGGCTCCTTCCAGTCAGGGACGTCTCCCTCCCCGCCGCCCCCAGCTCCTGGGGTGCTAAGCCCCTGCCTGTCTCTCCTGTGAGTGTCGGACAGTTTAAGTGGCCCAAGGCTCCCCCCGGCCTGCAAGAGAGGGACAGGCCTCTTCCCCACCAGGCCTCGCCCTCCCGGCCGGGGCTGCGGGTCGGGGGACCCTGCAGGGTCTTTCCATTGAGCTCAGACCTGGCACTGCCACCACCCCAGGTCTGACGGCCATACGGACACCTCAGCCCCTGCCCACTTCCCTCAGGGAGAAGCGGACGGCAGAGCCGTCTCAGCCCCGGGAATAGCCGAGGCCTCATCTCATTCGTCCGCGGAAACCATGCTGGCCCTGAAATTCTGACGATTCAGAGAAAAAGTGAGCACCAAAGCCGAGCGTAGAGCTGCGTGGAAAAGGAGGCAGCGGGGGTGACAAAGGACAGTGCCAGGCCTGCCCCCGGGCTCTGAGCCGCACCCACAAGCTCCGTATCTGACCTAGTCAGGGTCTGTTTGCAAACGTGCGGATGGATCCCCCCTAATCCGGGGGCGTAGGGTCCGCACCCCCCCCTGCCCGTGCTCTTTTAACCAGAGCAGCCGAGCCCCTGGGAGATCTGAATGGCAGGTTTGTTGCCAGGTGGGCACGTGCCATGTCGGGACTGGCGCGCGAGCCTGGAACGCAACGGGTAGCCTGGAAATCGGCCGCCGCTGGGCTTTCTGCTTCGGCAGGGAAGTCCGTCCTGCTCCAAGGCCTTGCCAAGCTGGCACAGGAAGCCGGTCCACCACCTCTCCTTGGGGGTGGCTTCCAGATCCCTGCACCCTGGGCGAGCCCAGCCCTCAGCTCCTCGCCTGAGATCGGCCGGACCAGCCCTTGTGCGCTCTGCTTGGGGCGGAGCCACCAGAAACCAGACCTGCTGCCTTCAGGGGGCTGCAGAGCCAGAGCCGGTTCCGGGCTGGTTCAGCAGGTTCGCCAAGAGCCCGCGTTCTCCTGGATTCCCGTTAGCCCACAGCTCTCCGCTGCAGGGAGCCAGCCTGGCGTTGTTTTGTTTCCACCGCACAACCCTGGTGCAGGGGGCCAGCAAGGACATCTGCTGTTTTGGCAGCCCCAGCACCCATGCCCGCCCTTTCTGGCAAGAGCCCCCGATGGCCTCGTGGGGAATTCCCCCGAGTGTGCAGCTGGGGGCCCCTCAGTCCAGATGCTCCCCTCCTTCCCTGCCCCAATCGGAGGTCCCCGAGGTGGCACCGAGCTCCTTGCGCTCTGGTCCAGTCCTTGCCGGGCCCTGCCTGGTCCTTCCCGGCTGCACCCTTCTCTGAGCTCCCCACTGGCCAGCCCTGGGGCTCTGTGTTGCTCAGAGCAAACAGCCCATTTCTGTTACTTCCAACCTCAGAAACCCAAGCCACTGGGACCTAAGCACCAATCCTGGCTCTGCCTCAACTGGCCGTGGGACCCCAGGCAAGACAGCCGTCTCTGGGCCTCGTTTCCTCGTCGGTGCTGACACCCCAGGGCCCCGGCTGCTTTGGCCATGGCAGCAGATGGGCTGGCGTGTCCACTGTCCAGGGCAGCGGCCACCTCTGCGAGCCACTGTGCTTCACAGTTTTGACAACTGTATGAAAGTGGATGCTTTCCCTAGACAAGTGTGCATGCGTGCAAACGCACACACACACACAGTTACAGTTCCTAGAGGACTCAGAACAGCCTTCAGATGCCTCTCCTCACTTGAAGGTGACACGGCTGGGTGTCTAGAACAGGTCACCACCCTCGGCATACAGCTTCAGTGGTTATGCCACTGAAAACACGGGGTGTTTTGATACCACCCCCAGAGGACAGCACTTGTTGAGATGGCTTTGTGTCCACCAAGCCCTATCTCAGGAGTTTCCTCTTGGGTAGGCAGCTGGACTGCATTTCCCAGCCTTCCTTGCAGTTAGGCCGGGTCACGTGACCAAGCCCTGGCCAATGGGCTGCGAGCTGGAAAGCAATGCCCCCTTCCTCTACCCCCTTACCCTATAAACATCCCTCCGCACTGCCCTCTGTACTCTCCTTTCCACCTGACCATTGCATAGGAGGAGAAGGTGCTAGAAGATGTCAGGGCCACAAAGCAAAGGGAACTGGGCCCCTGAAGGACCAAGGGCACTGGACCTTGCCCTGCCTTCTACCAGCCTGCCGCAGACCATAGCAGGAACAAGAAATAACTTGGGTTTGGGGCTCTTTGTTATATCCCTGTGACTAATAAGGTTCTCTTTGTCGGAGAAGGAATCCACCCGAGATGCCCTAGACGCTTACACGCTGCCCTTCTACCTTTGGTCCAGAGGTCCTGAAACTGGGGCAGTGTCCACTTCCGGCCACTGAACCCCAAGTCCCTCACAGGACCTTAATTTGCAGGAGTCTGGGCCTTGCCCCATGCCCTCGGTCCCCACCTTGCTTTCCTCAGTGCTTCGTGCTCGTGCAGAGTCTCGCTCTCCCTTGTATTTGGCCATCGTCTCGGGTCAAAAGACATCATCTCGGGGATCAGCCGTGCTCCATTTTTTCTCCTGGACACATAGCTCCCCGAGGACAACGCCTGGCCTGGCTCCCTGCCGACTACTGCCCTGCCCTGCAGGTGCCACAGGGCCCTTGCAATCTGTGTGGACGAAGCCCTTCCAGCTTCTTCCCAGAATCCCACTGCCTGGGCCCTGGATTCCAGCCGCACAGTGACCTCTGCCTACGGCTTGCTTCTTCTGTGAGCTGGAGCCAGGGTCCGGGAATGCAGAGGCCAGGGCTGGACCCAGGCTGCCTAGCGCTGGCCCGGGTCACAAGCCAGATACGGCACCCGGGCCCTGCCCCTGCCCCTGTTTCTCTGGAACCCGATTCAGGTTATTGCTGCTTGCCTCCCCGATGGGAAACTCTTTACACTCATCCTTTCTTTACCTAGGCAGATCTGTCTCCCAGGTAGCAGCCTCCGGACCGATCTGACCAGTCAGCCCTTGCTTGTCTCCCAGATAATAGCAGCAACACCGCTGCTGGTTTGCACAGGGCCCCGAGCTAAGCTGTTCACCTCCTAGATGTCCCTGGCCCTGGAAGAGACGCTGCCACTGCCTCATTCTGCAGAGGGGGATGTTGACCTGCCCCCAGGCGGCTGTGCGGGTGCGGCCGGCAGGTGCACTGGGGTAGCTGGGGCTTTGGCTGCCCGGCCCGGTTCCCCCACCCAGCAGCGTGGGGGAGCCCCCCTCCTCCGCAGCCCCAGCCCAGAGTCGGTGTCCTCCTGCTCCCATTCCCCACATCACACGCGTGGAGGCTGCGGGCTCAGCTTGGCTGGGTTTCCGCTCAGCTCCCCAGCGAGCTCCGCATCTCCGAGGTTGTGTGCTCACTTTGCAAAACTGCAGAAATTTATAGCCCAAGTAATTGATCACAGTGCCTCTGCCTCCCTCCATCTCGCTGGGTCTCCGAATTCCCTTCTCCACGCTCTGCCTTCGCTTTTTTCTCTGCGCGCCATCTGTGGTGTGAGAGAGAAGGGAGCCAAAAAAAAAAGGAGGGTTCTAGTCCCAGTTCTGCCAATTAGGAGTCACAGGAACCTCAGTTTCCCCGCTCTCCACCTGCTCACGGGGCTCCGGGTGACCACTCCCCGGAGCTACCCTGGGAGCCGGGGTGGGGCTGACACTCGCTTCCCTCACTGGGGAGCCCCCCACTCGGGGTCACGGAGCTGGTCGGTAGCAACCCCGGGGCTGAACCCAGACCAAGTGTGCCTCAAGGCCAAACCATTTGGCGACACTGCCACCCCAGGTCCCAGGGCCAATCAGAGAGGGGGCGACCCTTGCCCTCTCGGGGCCCAGCTTAACCCTCCTTCCCTTCATCCTGGGGCTACCAGGAGGACAGGAGCAGAGGCCGCGGGGAGCAGGGATGGTTTGCAAGGTACACAGCGCTGTGAGGATGGGAGGAAATTTCCTGTTTCTGCGGCTCCTCCATGCTGGCCCTCGCTCCTGTGCTGCTCGCTGCCAGGACTGCCAGGACGCGGCCTCCACCTGCCAGGCTGCAGGACCTTCCAGGACCCCGTCAAAGGGCTCCCAAGTGCACCCGGCCCTCCTGCTGCAGGGCCCCGAGGGGGTTGCAGCAGCGGGGCACCTGGGGGGGCCTGAACTGGGCCCTTTGTGAGCCCCCTCTCCGGTGGCCATTGCAGCCCCTTCTTCCAGTCCCACAACAGCCCGAGGGGAGCGGGCTCTGCCCCTCCCTCCTCGGCTGTCTCCGTCTCTCGCGGGAGATCTCTGTCTCTCCCACCTTCGGCGTGGGCAGGGCCTGCTGTCCCCAAGGCCAAGGACAGGCGCTGTCTCAAGGGCGCCTGCTGCCAGCAGCGTGCAGCGCCAGCCTCCCTCCTTTTTCAGGGGCTGCACGGGGCAGGGTTGGCCGCGGCTTGGGAAGGATTGGGGGGCACGTCGTGTCCCCCCTTTTCAGGGTCCGGCCCCTCTGGCTGCCCGCTCCCGCCCGGCTGGTAGAGATGAGAGCCAGCAGCAGCACGCAGAACAGAATTTTTTTTTGCAACTAGAGGGGGAAGCACAGAGCTAAAAATAAAACGAAAAGATCAGTATCTGTCAGTCTGACAGCTGATTGGCTGCTCGGAGATGCATATAATTACCAGCCACTGGCGCTGGGTAGCAAAGCCGGAGAACCGCTGAGACGAGGTTAGGATTTAACCTTTAAATTCTGGAGTCACCGGAAAGCGAGGGGAGGACCACGGGCGTCGGTGCTAATGAGGCTGGGGGTGTGGACGGGGCGTGGGGGGAGACGGGGTGCCGAGGCGGGTCAGGCCGGGGGCCTCCCCCGGGACGGCCCTGGAGCCCAGGCCCGGCAGCCTCCGCCCGCAGACCAGGGGCGCCTCTGATTGGGCGCCCGGAGGGGGCGGCGGTCCCGCGCCCGCCCAGCTGCAGGTGGCGTCTTCCGGGAAGTGGGGGTCCCGCTGGGGAGGGGGTGCGCCTGGAGCCCTGGAGCCCTCCCAGAAGGGCCTGGTCCCTGAGGCGCGCCCTGTTCCCTCCCACATTCCTCCGCTTTTCCCGGCCTGGTGTCGTTTGCGGCCCGGCCCCGCCCCCTCCTTCCTGCACCCCAAGTCACCCCGTGTTGCCTGCCCTACCTCCTGGGGAGGGCGCTTGGCACCTCAGGCTGGTCCTAGGTTCCCAGAGAGGATCAGAAGTGTAGGGCTGGAGGGATGCTGGGCATTCTTGAAACCTCGGTTTCCTCTCCTGCAAAATGGGAGAACAGGGCCACCTCACAGCGGGCCTTGCTGGGCTGTTTCGAGGCCAGCCTGCACCTAGCCCTGGGCCAGGTGGTCTGCGCCCTGGAGCAGCAGGAATTGTAGGGCTGCCCTGAGCCGATCTCCCACGCGTGCGCGAGGGAGAGCTCCTGCCCACCCCCAGTGACACTGGGGACGCGGAGGTGGGGGGACTTCTCACAGCTCCCGCTTCTACCTGCTCACTGCCTTCCAGGCCTGGCCCAGGCTGAGGCCTCTGCCTGGAGTGCCTTCCTCCCTCCTCGGGCTGGCCTTCCCTGCCAGCCTCTTCTGCTGCTTCTGAGTTTGTTTTGTTTGTTTTCTGAGACAGAATCTGACTGTGTAGCCCAGGCAAACCTCAAATTTGCAGTGATCCTCCTGCCTCAGCCTCCCAGGGGCTGGGCTTATAGACATACACCGCCACGCCTGGCTGCCTCTGGGTTTCTGACTTGTGCACTCAAGCCCTGAATGTCTGCTCTGTGAGAAAGACTGAGAGTCCCATGAGGTCAGGAACCCACGGGTCTGGTTCGCAGCGTTTGGGGGAACCGTCTCCCTGAATGCTTGGCTCGCCTCTGCAGGGACGCCCAGGGGACGTTGCCCTGTGTGTGGCACACAGAGGAGAGACAGGGGCAGCTTACAGGGCAGGAGTGAGTGGGGTCCCCTCCTAAGAAGCTTTCAGGGTCCGGCTGGCCTGGGGGTGGGGGGTAGAGCTGCCACTCAGTCCTGGACCCAGGAGCTCACATGGGGCTCTGGGGAGGATTCAGGAGCGCAAGGGAGCCTGCTCTGGAGCCTTGGCCTGGTGCCTGGAGCAGAGCAGCATGGGCTGCTGTGCTTGGTGGCAGAGGACCCCGCCTGGTGCCGTTTTGAGGGTTTCAGGGGTGTTTAGACCGCAGCTGCTCTGTGATTTCTGGCGTCTCCTTTGGACCTGACTTGGCCTTCAGATTGCCCTGCTAGCGACAACAGCAGCAGCAACAGAAGCAGCTCCCGCCAGCCGGGCACTACCCTGGCCCAGTGCTGCCCTCGGCCATGGCGTGGGTGCCACCCTCTGCCACTACCAGCCCCGGCGAGCCCACCGCAGCTGGGGGTCTGTCCCTGGACTGGAGTCTGAACCCCAGGCACTGTTCCTTCCGGGTGGGCCGTGAGCTGGGTGAGGAGGGCCTTGCCTGGTCTGGGTCCCAGCACCCCTCGCCAGCCCTGCACTTTTCAGACGAGGAGATGGAGGATCAGGTGGTCGAGAGGTCCAGATTTGTCCTGTCCAACTTTTGTTTGTTTTCCAAGACAAGGTCTCACTGTGTATTCCAGGCTGGCCTCAAACTCAAAGACAATCCCGCCTTAGCCTCCCAAGTGCTAGGTTACTGGCGTGCATGTGTGCACCACCACCCCCAGCTCTCACCCAATCTTTGACTCCAGTCTTAACAAAACTGTGGGAGACACCCCTGCCTTAGGAAGCCTCAGCATTTTATATTCAAAGAGCGAAGCAGGGTAGGAGATTTAGCTCAGTGGTTCTGCTGACTGCCTGGCAAACGAAAGGTCCCAAGTTTGATCCCCAGAGTACCCCCCCAAAAAAAACCCAAATAAAAGACAAAGAGCGAAGCAGCCCACATCTTCCCTCCATGCCCACTGCTTGCCTGAGACCCGGATGGAAACCGGCCAAGGCCTTTAGCCTTGCGGAAGTTCACCCTTCCGGTCGGGCCCACCCAAGCATGCTTTCGCTGTGTGACTGAGTCAGATTCACCGCCTTTGTCCCCATGGCTCCCATGTACGACGGATTCTGCCGCGGGTGACTTACTGTGTGGTCACCTGCCCAGGTGGCTTCTGGATGCCCGTGACGCCCCCTGTGCTCCCAGGTGCGTCCCTCTCTTTGGGGGGCAGGTGAGTGGCAGATGTCTCCATGAAGCCAGAGACCTAGTGGCTAAGGGTCAGCTGGCCCTACCCCGAGTGACCACGGGGACCTCAGTGGATGTCTCTGAGCTTGGCTGCCTCGCGGGGACGTGGACAGGGGCTGTCGCGGGTCTGGTGGAGCTGGTAAGTGTGATGCCCGAAGAGAGAGGTCCTGAGATGCGTGTCGTCAGGCGGTGTCCCAGTGCGGGCCCTGCAGTGTCCTCACAGGGACTCAGGCGGCCGTGACATCACTGGCCGTGGGCTCTTAGGGACCACTGTCCTAGACAGGTCTGTCGGCGGCTTTAACACCACTCGGGATGCACGTGGCTGTCACTGCTGCCCGGTGCCGGGTGCATCCCACACAAGGGTTTGGGGTTGGCTCGGTCTCCTGACGAAAGCCCTTAAGAGTCCCCTCTAAGAGGACAGAGCACCGTTAGGCTCTGGGATCTGCTGTGTGTGGAGCAGATGTGGAAAAGGCTCCACAGCTAGGCTTGGCCTGGAGGAGGGCAGGGCCTTTCTTTTTTTATTTATTTTTTTCTTTTTTTAAAAAATACCTTTTTCGACAGGCATAATGGTGCACGCCTGTAATCCCAGTATTCGGGAGGCTGAGGCAGGAGGATCGTTGTGAGTTCGAGACCAGCCTGGGCTACATAGTGAGTTCCAGGTCAGTCTCAACTACAGAGTGAGACCCTGTCTCAAAAAACAAACAAAAAAAAACCCAAAACTTTTCCTCTAATAATCCACCGCCTTATCCTTGTACTTTCATGTTGGTTTTTGTTTGCTTACTTGTTTGTGCTGTGGTCCTAGGGATTAAACCCAGATCCTTTGCACTGCCAGCTCTTTTTTTTTTTTCTTTTTCTTTTTCTTTCTTTTGATACAGGGTCTGGCTAAATCACTAGATTGCCCAGGATGGGCTCCAACTTTTGATCCTCCTGCTTCAGCCTCCCAGAATGCTGGGATTACAAATCTGCACTGGCCTGGTTCTTGTTTTTGTTGTTGTTATTGTTTTAAAGCAGGGTCAATGGCTTTCTAAGTCTCTTAAACTCCCCAGGCCCTCAAATTTGTGATCCCCTTACCTTGGCCTCTTGTTTTGTTTGTTTGTTTGTTTGTTTGGAGATAGGGTCTCACTGTGTAGTTGAGACTGACCTGGAACTCACTAGGTATCCCAGGCTGGTCTCGAACTCACAGTGATCCTCCTGCCTCAGCCTCCCAAGTGCTAAGATGACAGGCATGCGCTACCACGCCCAGCTTTACCTTGGCCTCTTGAATGCTGGGGCTGTAGCTCTGCCCCACCAAGCCTGGCTTCATGTTAATTTTTAAGTGTCTGAGCTTGGCCTGGTGGTGCACATCTGTAATCCTAGCACTCCAGCAGGCTGAGGCAGGAAGATTGCAAGTTGGAGCTCAGCCTGGGAAATTCAGCAAGATCCTATCTCAAAAGAGAAGATCAGGGCTTGTAGCTCAGTGTGAAGACCTTGGATTAAAAAAAAGAAAAGAGAAAGTATCCAAACACCAAACAGCACCAGAGTGCCCGCCTGCCGCGTGCTTGGTACTGTGTTCATCCCAGATGGCCAGACGGTGATGCCCCTGTTGGGGCTACAGGTGTTCCCACCACCTCTGCACCTGCCCAGGACACCTTCTGGGTCCCAGGGCAGCCACTCCAGGCGTGGGGTGCTGACCCGGGGAAGCTGTGGTCTGTAGTGAGGAGGTGCTTTGCAGGCTGTGGCCCAGCCCTGTCCCCGCTGAGCTTGGCCCAGTGACATCTTCAGACTTCAGTCTGCCCGCTGGACACAGGGCGAACTCTCAGACACAGCTAGGAACCAGCCATGGTCCCTGCCCTGGAGGGAGGATCTTTTAGGGCCAGTCTTGGGGCGTAACGGTCCAGCCTGAGGAGCTCGGCTGTAGGGACCCCGCAGACAAAGCCCCCCAATCGCTGCGTCATCAGTGGAGCTCCAGGTCCCCAGCTGCGGCCCCTAGGTGAGCTGTCACATGGACCTCAAAGCAGAGACCCCCGAAGCCATACCGGAGGCCCAGAGGGCTTCTTCCTCCCCGGGGTGTCCTGTTCCACAAGGAGGAAAGGGAGCGAGGGCCTTGGGACCAGGGTCTCGTTGTGCTCAGACCCTTGAGAGTCACTCGTAAGAAGCCGCCAGGGCCTGGCTGTGCTCTCAGGGGACCTCAAGTCTGGGCCAGGTAGGAGTCAGGGGCTCCATGGCCGCCCCCAGTTCATGGTGAGGGGACCCAGTCAGAGGGTGCGCGTGGCATATGTCAGCCCGTGGCGTGTGGGACCTCACAGGCAGCCCTGAGTCCTGTGTTGATGGTGGGGAGAGCAGGGGTCTGGAGCAGACAGGGGTGGGAGCAGAGCGTCCAGCTGCTCCTCTGCTCCGGCAGTTTCTACAAGAATTCCAGTGAATCTGGGGCTTCTCGGCAAACCTGCGATCAGGAGCTCGCGCCGTCGCAGAGGACAGGCTGCCTGGGGGCCAAGCAGGAGTCCGGACCCAGAACCCAGGGGTGGCCCTGTGCAGCCAGCTGGGCAGGTGGGGG